CTCTATCTGACTACAAATATGGCCATAGGTGGATGAATCTGACCGCCACTACGTCCACAGCTTAGTGAAAAACGTCCTCGTGTGAGCATGGCTTAAGTACAGGTATACTGTGCCCGCGTTGTATTCGGGCGCAGGAGACACTGCGCGTTGAGGAAAGAGGTGTAGGCTGCAAGTTTTGTTTTTTTTTTTTTTTTTTTTTTTTTTGGGAGAACGCTGGCAGCCTAGTATCATATGATCCAGGCGCTCCGGCCTGGTTCATATGATGGCTGCTTTTGAATTATGAAAGCCGGAAAAGGGGTCCAGCGTCCCTCACATCATAGAAAAAAATCAACAGAACGAACAAAAGACGAAGTATACACAAAACCCTAACTGTAGGTAACAAAATCGTCCATCCTCTGATAACCACCTAACCCTACGTATCCGCCCTTCCTCCAGCACGGCAGGGGTCTGGGTCTCAGACCCCGCAAAACCCACCCACCTCCTCGCGGTTTAGAGCGAATCGCACCACCACCATCGTTCACCTACGAGAGCCGCCAACTCCCACCATGATGGCGGCTTGGCCAACCTACGGCTATACCCTACCACCCGCACGGCAGGGGCCAAAGACCCCGCTAAACCCACCCACCTCCTCGCGATTCAGGGTACACCCCTCCACTCATCTGCTTGTCGCGATGGGGTCCTCACCGCCCACCATGATGAAGCACCCGCGGAGCGACGCTCCCCAATCCCAGGCAAAAGAACAGGATGTCAGAAAAAATTCCCAACCACATATAACGAGACCAACTCGAACCAACAAATTCACCCCTGTGAAAAAGCCCTGCCACCCGCGCGGCAAGGGTCAAAAGACCCTGCAAACCCACCCACCTCCTTGCGATTCAAGGCTATCCGCTCCCCCAATATGTGCCAACCTCCTAAGAGACCTCACCGCCCACCATGACGAGGTCCGTGCAAGACGGCACTCCCAATCGCCTCAACCAACCAATACTATGATCCCTACATTTAAGGCGAACAGAGACCACGGATCCGAAGGGATCGACATTTTCAACCTACCAACACAAGGATACAAAAGTTAAAAACACTCGCCTAACTCGGCAAAGCGGACGCACAGATGTTACCTAACAGGGTAACCTATGTGCCAGAAAATTGCAACCCCTACAACAAAAAGTTGATAAAATCCCAGGAATAAAATTGGGATAAACAACAAAACACACTCCACGCAAAAGCAAACTCCCCAGACCTACAAACTTCATTAATACACAGCAAAACTCTCTCATGCTGTCGATCACGTTCATCAGCTCTAACCATGAGAGCGTTCTCATACTGTCGATCAGGTTCATCAGCTCGAACCATGAGAGCAAAGCGAACAGAACGTACTAATACACAGAGCAAAACCTAACCGCAAAGTGACACAACAACACCCACAACTCATACTAAAAAACGAAACCACTCGCCGAAAACAGCGAGGCTCAACCCAAATTGCACCGCAGCAACGACCAGTCTTTTCATGGAATACAAAAGATCCAAGGCAAAGCCAAGCCGCCGTCACACACCTACTCTCTTTCAACATAGAAAGCAAGCGAACAACAGCTTTCCACCACCCTTGTACCCTGCCCACTCTCTTTCAGCACAGAGAGCAGAACCACAATCTTGCACAGTAGCTTGCCGTCACAAAACTCTGGCAACGTCTGACAAAACAGGCCGTAGGGCTCCAACGAGACAGCTCGTCAATCATCTCGCAAAACTTCTTCTCTCACGAAACAATCAGCAAAGCAGCCTAGAAAGCCGTGGGCAGCAATCAACAGTCCATGACACAATCCAAACTCCAGCGTCCCGAACTGTTGCATATCTAGGACCAGGGGGTGAACAAACCCCTGATCGGTTTTCATATCTGGTATTTCGCGGCGATCAGATCCCGCCCCTCAGTCGTCCCCACTTCTGCCACGAACCCAACGCGACTGAAAGGGATTGCCAACGTACAAACGCTGACCGGGATCAGCCATAGCCAGGGACCAGGCAATGGTCCCTGTTAAACTCACGTCCCTCCTGCACCCGCGCGCCCCATCACCCCACGAAGTTCCTGCTATGCCAACAGCAGGCTCTGGCATCGGGAGCTAACGCAGCGCTGCGTAGCTCCGCTAAGCGATCCCCCGCCGCCCAACCGCCCCTCTCTCTTGTCATTTGAGGGACAGGGGCCCGGGAATACGCCCCTACAGATCAACCCGGTGATGACCAAACAGCACTGGGGCCATTACCCAGCTAGGCTCCTGGAAACCGGGTCCAGTGTCCCTCAACGACTGATGAGTCTCCAAAAAACAGTAAAAAAGGAATTCTTCAACCTTCTATGTCATCCTCCGTAGTCTCAACATGAGTCAAATCTCGTCTATCCTTCCAAAACTAATTCATGGTGGAGAGCTAAAACGCTCTCCATGTCCTGTTGGGGAGAGAAGCCAGGGTGCAAAGCATAACCTGTCTTCTACAGTAAACTTTGCTAGTCTAGAGTCTCTCCCCCTGGTATCCCAGAACCATTTTCTCTGCTTCAGCCTGTTTCCTCCGTTTGATCTACGAAGCCAGTCGCTGTATATGGTGGTTCTGATTTGCTGGGCAATCTTGATCTTGATGGCATTGTCTGCCGTGTACTTGCTTTTGAATAGCTGGTCGTTTCTATCATCCCAGATAATCTTCATGATGATTGCTCGAATCACCTGAGCAACATACAGCCATTCTCTTTCCTTAGGATTTGTAACATCATGAATGCCATTCAAGATCCATTCGTCAGACCAAGAAAAACTGCAGTTTGTTAGGCTTGGACCCCACCGGCCGGCGGCGTGGAAAAGTTTTGGCAAGGAAGTGTTTTTCAGACCCCACAGGTGTTGGAAACCGTCGTGGAAAGTCGGCCCGGAATGGAATTTTAGACCCCACTGCGGTTGGCAAGAGGTCGTGGAAAAGCTGACGGGGCGTTTCTACTTGGCTCGCGGTCTGGAAATTGTTGGCAACGAGTTTCCAAACAGTTTCCAAGGACGGCTCCAGACGAGCAGGGGGGGGGCCATGGAAAAGACTTTCCAGAAAACGGCTAGACTGCGCGAACCACGGACCGTCACCGTGGACCGTTTTCTGGACCAGTACGCTGGCGCGGACATGCACTTCATTTTCTCGCGTCGCACGGTTCCCGCCGGGGGCGGGGGGGGGTCTGGGCCCTCCATGCTACCCTCGGTTTGCGAACGGCATGACGCAGCATTTCAAATTCGAATTTTTTGGCGGGCTGAGAATGTAGGCCAGCCATGCAGTCGCATCATGTCGTGCGAGTTCAGTGGCAGAAGCATCGGCAGTGACACCCTTACGTCGCCGTCGTCGACACGTCCATTAAACCCTCCGTCGTTTCTCACCGGCGTTATGCCATCGCTCATCTCCTTCGCTCGTGCAGGTTCCCTAGCCTGCCTACGGGGAAGCCATCTCGGGTGGCGTCGGCAGGCGTTGTTCGGTCGGGGCTTGCATTTCGAAGCTGTTGGCGTTGTGCCGAGCAGTGTCTGTAGAACGCACAGTCCGGCCTCGGCGTTCTCACTGCCTGCCCGCGCGCACACGTGTCGTCCAATGCTGACCTCCCGTGTGGTCGCCATTGCACATGCCGTGCTCCGTCGTGTGCCTCCCTTGCCATGCTCCCTTCTTCGTCTGCCTCGGCAGGGCGGTCGTTTGTCCTCGCCGGAGAGCAACCCCGACACATGTGGGCAGGGATGGGCTGCACATGACGATGTGGTCATAAGTCCTCATCCACACACTCGGCACGTGTCGGTTGTCGAACGCTATAGTCAGGCGTGTGGATGTGACCGCTGCCATCGTCATTGCTGTGTGGATGTTATCATAAACAACCACTGCGGCGGAGGCGGGCGACGAAAAAAACCATCTTTGGCTGTTATCGCAGGCCTGCTTGCCGTCGCTATCCTCATTTCCACAGCTTTCGTGTTGTCCGTCGTTTTCTGGTGCGCGATCGTGTACTTGTGCTGTCGTCGGTGGAGATAAGCAGCGAAGGGTTGTTGTTCGAGGGCGCATTGCGTGTTTGCAGGTGTTGCCTCCATATATATACCTTCCGGAGCGAAATGGAGTTGTACGGGTCGACGACAGATCCCTGTGCAGGCAATGGTGGGGGATTCCAGACCCAGGACATGCGACACCAAGGATCTGTCCAATACTCCTCGCCTTCGCGGGCGAGTATGCAATCCTTCAGCGGGCAGATGCAGGAGGTTGTGCGTGCGGGGCCGATTCAAGTGCCTCCTGCTCGTGTGCCCTCTCCACCTTTCCATCATGCGGAAGCTGCACGTCGGTGGTTCGTTGTTCGACCCACTGCAGAAAGTCTGCACGCGAACCCGGTGCACACGGGCCATACGTCGTTTTGCACACATGTTGGAGGCGGGTATGGCATGCCTTCTCCGCACATGTTCCCGGGCGGTGGTGGATATGGCATTGCTCCGCACGTGTACCCCACCCAACACAGTATGGAAAGGGGCGGAGTGATGAGGGACGAGTGGCAGTGGTCCCCACACTGCCGACAAACGTCGCAGCTCATGCATGGCGGGTTGTCCGCTCCCTCGCCCATGTCGGTGACGCGGTCTGCTGTCGAGCCCTCACCTTCGATGTAAGATGTGCAAGGAGAGGATATGGATGAGGGGTGGCCTGTCCACAGTGCAACTCCATCGCCTGCCGGCTTGCAAGGTCCTTCCTTTGGTGGCGAGGAAGATGACTTGGTTGGCGACGAAGAAGTTGAAGGTGATGGCGGTGACATTTATGGGCAAAACTCTGACAATGTGCAGGAGGATAGGGACAGTGGTACTGTTGGCCAGAGAGATGGGGGCGAGAATATGGTTGCGCCCCAAAGCAGCAAACGTGCAAACAAGCGGGGGGGCAAAGATGGTGCTGCGAAAAACAAGAAGCAAAACATCCCCTGGACCTTGGATGAGAGGATCGCGCTGTCCAGAATGATGGCCGAGGATGACGCCCTTATGGCCGACGCCGACGGGCAGCATCGGTTCAAGAGGAGTAAGGACCGATATGAGTGGGTGCACGATCGGATGGCGGAGCAGGGGTTTCCGCACAGGTCGGCGGAGTCGTAAGAAGTGGCAGGGCATGCTGGCAGCAGCGAAGTTGATTCTCGACAAGTGTGAGAATGCTTCGAGGAAACCTTCATACTGTGACATGACCGTTGAGGAGCGGAAGGCGGAGCAGGTGCCACTAGGCTTTGAGAAAGCTGTGTGGGAAGCGGTGGAGTGGAAACTCAATCGGCCATCCATCAAGTGTGACAAGACGCTGGCGTCCGAGAACGTGCGAGGTAACGCGGGGGGGAATTCAACGAGCGGCGGTCCAGCGCAGCCGTCGTCAGGGAGGAGTGCTTCTCACGACAAAGCAACGGAGGATTCAGACCAAGCAGCGAAGACCCGGAGGACGAACACCAACAAAACCAGGATGGACGACACGATCAGCAGTGGGACAGCATTGGGTAGGGCGATGGAGGACGCGACACGGTTGTACGGCGAGGGTTTGGATAAGGCCGCTGCCACTCTGGCGAAGGCAACGTCGGAGGCAGGCTCAACGATTGCGGCGAAGATCGGTGACGTGGCAGATGCCATGCGTGGCGGAACACTGTCCTTGAGATGGTCGTGGGGGTTCTCGCGAGGCGCGGAGGTGGGGGGAACAGTGCTGCATACGAGAGGGCGGATACAGACCCCTCGACACGCTAGACTTTCTATATATATACATATATATATATATATATATATATATCGTCACAAACAGAACTACCCGGTAAACTGTAGGCAGAGAGAGAGAAGAGGACAACAAACGAGGGGGCTGAACCCTCAACAGTCTGCAGAATCCCCTCACTGATTACACTGTAAATGATAATCTACCTTAACCAAAATCAAAGTAGACTATCACTC